TATGACATAATTTTCAACCCGATTATCGAAAACCTTTATACCAATAAATGAATTTCTGATGTTCTTTCTTGAATTCAATAATGATTGAAAGTAGACAAAAAAGGCAAGTGAAAACCTTACAATATATATAAGCTAACCCGATAAGGAATAACTATATGTTCCTTTGAAAATTGAAATTGATATGTTGCACTGATTTCATAATTTAAAATTTTCTAAGAGCAATAAAGCATAGATTTTTGAACTAAACATTTAAAACGTATCATAAATTCATCATTTAGTTGAAACTATAAAAAACTTGCCATGCAGTGGAGAATCAATTAAACATCTATATAAATAAAATTACAGTTTTGTCTGTACATTGTTTAGAATCATGCGGTTTTTAGTTATTTTTACGTTTCATAGCCTAAGAAAGCCGAAACGAGTCTTATCTCAATTTCTGTCTGTATGTCTGTTTGTCTGTCCATTCTGTGATTCCGTCTGTAACGCCAAAATGTCATTTTACGCGGCCTACTCCTAGAAAACTAGAGTACCGATCAAGGTTTTTAATCATTTTTCTGTATTTACTGGATTGGTGAGAGTGTCTTTGGCTATAAAAACATGGCCTCGCTTCTTCGAAAACAAAATAACGAACCACCAAAACCCCAATTTTGTTCGATTTTTGTCAAATTTTCTCCCAATGTTTACTATTACATTACATTTTATGAAATAACGATCAGCTATTTGGATTAGTTTTCACTTCTAGCTGTCACCGATATGTTTACATTAAAAGTTGTTTACAAATACCGCAACCATTTCCGATCAAGTTTTGTCAGCACATCCAAACCAAGTGAGATTAAAAACGTTGTGCCTTACTTAACCGGTTTAATTAATCGCAAGTGCAACGATTGTTCTTGAGTTTTGATAACCGGGGAAAATACCGTGAATCAGTGTTGTATTAGTGCAAGGAAACTTACATTTTTTTAATCATCGTCACCAATACCGTAGCTTACAAAGGTTTCCACTCATTGACGGCGCTTCAAGGACAGTTGTGTAAAGTGCAAAGTAAAAAATCAAGACTGCAGTGGGTGATCGTGGATGTTGCTGCGATCTTTAAACATTAATTAAAACATTAATGTTCTAATTTTAATTAGAACATTAAAAGCTGCTTACAAATAATGCTATTAATAGGAATTAACTTTGATTTTCGAAAACTAAAAAAAAAATTAAAACCAAAGGAGATTAATAACTTCCGGTACCGGTACTGCACCACATCAAGTGAAAGTTTTTTTTTTAGCAAACCATAGTGAGTTTTCAAAGCTTTACGTTGTTTACGTTACATGTTACATGTTTTGTGGCCTGTGTGTATTTATTTATTTATATAATTGCCAACTGATTAACACCTATAATACAGTTTGATTAGAAGGACAGTTTGAATTAGTCGTAAGTACTACAGTTCTTTTCTCAAATGTAAACGTTGGTTTTTGGTACCGGTACTGCTACTTTTCCTTAGAACCGGTGGTAGCAGTACCGCTAAGAATAATTTTTACATACAAACACATCACTATTTTTCACTATTTATTTATAATCACTGCACCTTATTGCTTATTCAATTTAATTGATGTCTTACTGTATAATTTTTAGCGTTTTCTGTCTGGACTCCAAAATGTTGTGTGGACTCAATTCTGCATTTGTGTGTGTATGTCTATTGGTAATGCATTAATGTCCTTATTTTTCGTGGAAAAGACAAGAGCACCATTGTTAATAAAAATTTCAACCCGAATAAAGTGTGCAGTAGTGAGGTTGAGGTAGTGTTTTAACTACTTTTAGTGTGAAAAGTAACTTTCAATTACAGGCCTACCTTAGGGCTATGCCTCATAGATCTATACTGTAAAGCAATTCCTTTCATCGTTTGATATAAAATATGGACTAACACGATCGGGTGAAATTTAATTGCGAAGCATTCGTTTTGGCTTTGAAACTGTCAGATATTGTATTTGAGAAGGTTTATATGTATTCCTAAACAGTTATAGTTTTGCCATCATATCTGGAAAAATGCACACTAAATAGCAAACCAACTCCTGTTCTGAATATAAGGTTTTAACTTACTACAAGATTCCCGTACGTAGAACGGGCAAACAGCTAGTCATAAATAATAATGTACACATTTAATTTTGACAGTTTCAGTAGACCTTTAAATACTATTATTTTAATATGAACAGCTGGTTCATTAAAAGTTGTGTAAAATTATCCATATGGTCGTAATGTAAACAAAACTGCTGAGTGAACTTTAAAGGCCTCTGGGCAGAGCCCCAAAGAAATTTACCTCGTTTCTCTGTTGAGGGCTCATCTACAGACCAAGACCTTTCTTTAGACACCCCTACCGAATTTCTACGCCCAGCCGTTCGCTCAAAATAGCTATGACAAAGAAAACCCGTTTCAAAATAATATATGGATATTGTGTGAATATTCGATAATTTACTTGCTTATTGTTTAGGTGTAGTAGTAGAACATTATGGCAATGGTAAACGTGTTATTCTATAGCTTCCGTTAGTTAAAAGAACCAAATTTTCTCAAACCGTGTCCTCTTCCATTGCAAACACAAAGAATGAGTATAACTGCAATAAGCATTTTATACAAACGCCAACCCCGTACGAAGGACGGGTATTCTGCTAGTAAAACAATAATTATATTGCAATGCTATGGATTTTGATTGTGTATTTAATATACATTCATGTTTATAAGTAAGTCAGCGGGCAGCTGAATTTTCGGCCCTAGGGATACAAAAACCTGCTCGGTCCCCTAATAACGATGGCAGCTGGCATCCAGCAAAACGTAACTTTCAGCTACCAATTAACGGATGTAACCCCTCTAAAAACATCATAGTGTGGTGAAAAAACATTTACCCTTCTTATTCTAATATACTTTATATACATATTTTAGGCACTCGCCAATCCTTGTACCAAGTTTCTACTTCTATCGTTAACACTATCTTTACGCGATCATTAATTGAGTAAACTACTATTACGTGATTAAATACCACAATTATAATAGTTTATAACAATGTAAACTGTTTTTTTCACCACACTATGATGTTATTAGCTGTTTTACATACGTTTGGTGGCTGAAAGTTACGTTTTGCTGGCCATGCCAGCTGTCATCGTCATTTGGGGGACCGAGCAGGTTTTTACATCCCTAGGGCCGCAAAATCAGCTGTCGCAAAATCATGCATATGAATGCATATTAAATACACAATCAGTTTCCAATCCATAGCATTGCAATAGAATCGTTTTATTGTCACCTCTGCCTAGCAACTGTTTATTATTATTTTTGCTGATTCCTCAAATTATTTCTTCACATAACCTTAAAGTTGTACTTGTGTTGACAGAGTACATTATTATTGTGGTGAATAGTAATAATAGTGGTATAATGTGGTGAAAAATAGCGTTCGTACCACGGACCGAAATGGTTTTGCCGGCTCGAGATAGTTTTTAAGTTCGAGACGAAGTCGAGGTAACTTTCAGCCACCAATTATGGTGGAAAGATATTTATGTAGTTTATTTTTATTAACAACGGTCTAAAATATCTTGGAAGACGCTTACCGTTTCGGCTTCAGACTTTACCGTTCCGATGATGATAAGGATAAGGTGTTTTGCACATAAAACAAAAATTAATGAGTAATTAAGAGATCCCATTTCAAATCGGAACCGTAATATAACTCGTGCCATCTAATATATAAAATTCTCGTGTCACAGTGTTTGTCTGCAAACTCCTCCGGAACGACTTCACCGATCGTTATGAAATTTGGTGTGTAAATTCTGTAGGTATGCGAATCGGACGTAAACTATTTCCCGTTTCGAAATTCTTAAAAGGGCTCCGCCCCAGTGGCTCTGGAGTTTCCCATGTTAACCTTATGAGAAATGGAATTAATGAATCTTAACAGCTGTTTCAATTAAACAAGTTGGTTTTGTTCTATGATGTTCAATAGCATTAAAGTTACAAGGATTGCCAACAGGGTGCAGCACTATTATTTCTTTTACATTTATGACAACAGCTAATTTGCAACCAAAAGGTGAGTGAGCGTAGCGAACGAACTTGAACCTGGAGGCGAGTTAGCGTAGCGAACGAGCTAACCTGAAGGCAAGTGAGCGCAGCAAACGAGCTCCAACCTAAAGGTGAGTGAGCGTAGCGAACGAGCTCTAACCCAAAGGTGAGTGAGCGTAGCGAACGAACTTCAACCAGGACGTGATTGAGCGATGCGAACGAGATCATCTTGAAAATTAAACGTAACGGTACTTTCTTTCCATCGCTTTGTCTTAGGGGAAACCTATAACTTAGGCGATACGAAGTTCGCCGGGTCAGCTAGTTTCTTATTATTATCCTATATATTCTATATTCTTATATGAGCAATGTTTGCTTGTATGCGTATGTGTGTATGCTTGCTTGCACAAAGATCTCGACAACGTCCTCGACGATTTTCTTCAAATTTTGGAAATAGTTTATTTCTGGCCTAAAAACAAGTTTACTTTATAGAACTGCCAACAAAAATCTAATTATGTAGAAAAAATAAACTGGGAACTGTTTGTTGCAGTTAGATTAATGTATCAGGAATCCTAAAACGCTATGGGAAGGGAGGGAACAGGTCCACGACGTAGGAAGTGTTGAAAGAAGTAGTGAAGGCTGGCAGTGCAGAGTTTGGGAACCGTTTGTAGCTGTTAGATTATTGTATCTGAAATCATTAAATGCTATGAGAAGGGAAGGAAACAGGTCCACGACGTAGGAAATGGTGAAGGAAGTAGTAAAGGCGAGTAGTGTGGAGTGTGGGAAGGGATTAAAGAATTTGCAATACTAAGACTGCTCTCAGAGTAAACTAATGATTTTCCCCGAGCAAAGCTCGGTCCCCAGGTACTCCTTATATAAGCTGGACTAATTAAGCTATAATGCCATAAGATATACACGCTGTTTAGTAAAATAACTATTCATCCGTTTTTAACAACGAAGTAAAACTAAATATTTCATTGCAGGAATGCCCAGAAGGAGTTGTGTGTGAGGACGCCTTCAAGGATATATATGCCAAGTTCTTTCCCCATGGAAGTACGTATGAGTATATTTTATAATTAATTATTTAAAAACATTTGTTTGCTGCGTCTACTCTTAGTGCATATTTTAAGGTTTTCATCAAAGCAACATTTCAAAATATATCTTATGTTATGTTAAACGTTATAAAGGTCAGTGGGTCATTTGTTCGTTTCTGATAGTATCAATCCATGTAATGGGCTACTACTGTACTAGTACTAACCAGAATTAATAGTCTGTAAGGATCAGGTTAGTAGCCTATAAGACTACGCTTTTGTCAAAATTACAGTCGTTGCTGATTGCACCATTTGGCTCTTTCTCAACAAAACCAGCCAATTCCTTCGATAATGCTATCGGTTATTGCTCTTGTAGTCAAATTGATTCCACAAACATAGGCTGTACAGAAATGACTTATTGCTACTACTTTGTACAAAATTATGCAAACCGTTAGCTCAATGATTGCTTGTGTTAGTTAATTAATATAACTTTGACAACAGGAAAAAATCCTATAAAAATCACTTCAGTTTAATCGTCTGAATTTTTTTAACAGGGACAGGGAAGTATAGCTTGTACAATTAAATCTCATATCTGTTTCTCAACATATAACACCCAAAACATCTATGTATATAAAATCAAATGTATGTTTCTTTGTCATTTATAGACTCCGAAACCGCTCGACAGATTATAATGAAACTTTCAGGCATTATTGAGCATTATTCAAGGAAGGTTTTGTGTGAAGTTTGGTGCAGATCCGTCAAAAGGGCTCCGCCCCAGTAGCTCTGAAGTTTCCCATGTTAACCTTATGAGTACTCATATTTAAATGGAATTAAAGAATCTTAACAGCTGGTTGAACTAAACAATTTGATTCTGTGATGTTCAATAGCATTGAAAAGTTAATAGTTTTACCAACAGGGTGCAGCACTATTATTTTAGTGAATTTCCTTATTAAAGTAGCTATTACCATAGGTGGCACGGTAAGACTTAGGCCCGGGACCGATTTTCTTTTTCATTTTGATGTCCCCATAGGCCAAAAACACCATTCGTTCAAATGTTTATATATGTATATATATATATAGATATATATATAGATTTATATATATATAGATTTATATATATATATATACGTCCGTGAACGCGATAACTTAAGTAATTTTTGTCCGATTTTGATGAAATTTGGTTTAAAGGTGTAAGGCAGGATAAACTTGAATGAATTCGCGAACCAGCATGATCGGATCATGAAAACTGGGTTTTAAGGGAGGTTTTATGGGGTAAAATTGGTTTTTCTCATTTTTCACCCTCAAAACACAAAGTTTCCCAATTTCTCTCTATACCTTTTTAAAGAGCTTAAAAAAACAAATAATTTAATATGTAAAAGTGTTTTTGTACGGTTATTGGCAACGGAAAAAATTTAAAAAAATTGTTAATTTAACATTCTCATATTATTTTTATGTAGAATTTTGTAAACTGTTGTATTTTGCTTGTTTATGGATATATTTTGATCAAACTTTGCAAATTTATTTATTTTATACTAAGTTATTAATATTTTACAAAAATTGCACTATATTAGTTTCCTTGTAGCAGCAAACCAATGTACTAATTAAACCATGCAATAGCATAGCAACGCTGGTGGCGCTGCCTACGGATTGACAGGCAAAGCTCTCTCAAACTGCTTAATGCTTTTTACCATGCGGTTGGCATTCTGGGTTATAGTAGTACGTTTTCTGTGCCTGAAGGCAAGTGAGCGCATCGAACGAGCTCCAACCTAAAGGTGAGTAAGCGTAGCAAACGAACTTCAACCAGGACGTGATTGAGCCATGCGAACGAGCTCATCTTGAAAATGAACGAGCATTGACATAAAACCGCATTAGGGCAGGACGACGTCTGTCGGGGCAGCTAGTATTAAATAAACGGTATCAGCAATCTGACACATACTTTCTCCTATTAGCTTGTGAACAACCTTTATCATGCATGGGTAATCGGTGGGAGTAACTACGTTATTTTCGGCGGACCGATTTTCCCCCAAATACCATCTGGACCAAAAGGGTTCGCTAATTCCCTAACCGAAACTCCCCCGCGAGGGTGGAAGGTACCTGAGCCGCCTGAGGTTTGTCATGCCACGCGATTAGTCTTGGGAGAATCTCCGCGTTCTACAATGACAATGAAAACTCTCTCCCCTTCATTGCCGCCCCTTGGATTCCAGGAAGGTCAGCGGGGGAATATCGGTGGAGTTGTGTCGTAATTACGAACAGGCCAGATTGCGAACGCAAGGGTAAAATCGTCGCGTGTTTTTTGCGAACACCTCAAAAATTATGTGGACTACCTGAATATGAGTCATCCAGACTGCAAACAAATATTTCTGTAAAGATGGTTTAGTCACTGTTGTTGAACGTGAGGGATGGGCTGATGACTGTTGCTCCAAGTATGTTAACAAAACTCGATCAATAGGATTAAAAATAAACGATGAAAGGACTAAGTTGGTATATTTTGGCCCGGGAAACAATGGTAGAAAAACTGTTGAAGTGCTAAACCATAAATTCGAACAAGTTTAAGAGTTCAAATACCTGGTTTCAATTGTAAATTCAAAAAGTAATGAATTATTAGAAATTCAAAATAGAATAAATTTGGAAAATAGAAGCATGTATGCATTAAACAATATTTTTAAATCAAAATTACTGTCGCATAAAACAAAATTAAGAGTATACAAGACTATTATAAGACCAATCCTGCTTTATGGAGAAGACACATGGATTGTGGACAAACAAACCGAAAAGAAACTGATTACATTTGAAAACAGAGTTTTGAGAAAAATATTTGGACCTGTTAGAGAGGGAGAAGGATGGAGAATTAGGCACAACCAAGAAATGAGGGACATGTACCATTCCCCAGACATAGTAGGAGAAGCAAAGAGCAGAAGACTAAGGTGGGCTGGCCATGTATGGAGGAGGGAAGATGGCAGACTAATAAAAGAAGTTTGGAGACAAAACGCAACACTCAGGAAGAAGACCCCGAGGAAGACCCAAGAGTCGATAGAACAACCAGGTGGAGAAAATTTTGCAAAGATTAAGATCAATGAAAGACGATTCAGAGAACAGGGAGAGATGGAGGCAACTTGTTGGCAAGGTCGAATACTACCTAGGGTATCCATGGTCATGGGATTAAGAGTATAGGCAAGTTCAGTTCGTCGGTTCGTTCGCTAGACTGTGGTGAAATAGTAGGCTTGTGGTGATAGTGTTATTAGTAGTTAAAGTAGTAGGCCGGTGGTGATAGTTATTACTATTTCAACCGAGTTCATTGAAACAGAGAGAGGGAACCAGAGTGTCATTTAAAAGGATATACTTACAGGAGGTTTCGAGAGAATAAGAAAGATGAAGTGGCGTGGTTGTGTATGAAGGAGAGATCCATAAAGTGTAAGGGAAAACTTGTTACTAGAGAAAATGTTGAAGTTGGAGCTACAGATCACCAGCGTGTTTCAGACGAAGCTGAGTTCATCCTGCTACGTCATTCGTCCTGCTCCATTATGTATATTACCAGTCTTAAGTTGTGATTCAGGCAAAATCATTTTGTTAAAGGTTTCTATGAAAGGGTTGAAAACTCCGACCACTCAAAATGTGTTCGCAATCAGGAATCCTCCCCACCTCACGGATGACCCCCTCCACCTCGTGGACCCAAACATGTTCACAGTCTAGACTGTTCGCAATAAGGAAGAGGAAGACACCATCGGTGGGCCGCTGGGGCGGGATTACGAGTCGCGGCGGAGTTTCGGTATCTACCTGAATTTTGCGGGGGAGTTTCGGTACGCCCGTTATTTTATAGGGAAAATGTCAAAAGTTGCAATAGGTTTTGAACCATAATTGGTAGAGCAACTGGGAGTTGCACTATTTGTTATAATTATAAGGACCATGACGAATTAATTTGAATTAAAACCAGCTTTTTCCCTAAAATCCGATTTTTTTTTGTTTTTATGAAGTTTTTTTGGAAAATAACATATAAGTTACAATAACATTTTAACCGTACTGTTTACGGAAATGGGATTTTTACCACATTGTTGATCAGAACTTAAAGGAATATAACACAGTAAATGTTAATCAAAATCTTTCGGGCCATTTTTGAGAAAATCAGATTTTTCCGTTATTTTATGGGTTGGTATGGTCAAAGCACCATTAAAACCAAAATTTCAAAAAATGAAAAAAATACCTTGAGATACTGTTGTTTAAAGCATACACACAAAATTTAATAAAAATCGGACTACAGGTGTGGTCTGTAGCTCTGTACGCATCCACACATATAGACACCTAAACGTACGCACGCACACACATACACGCAAACCCGGACCGTGTGCTCCCGCTATCCCCGCGTCCCGCCACCTCCGAACCCAAATCTGTCCCGCCACCTCCGAATTCTTGAGTGACCCTATTTAAAATACTTGAAGTAATATTAGATAATTAGTATTAGAATAAATTATTTCAAGATGGTGTTGTAATGAGTCTTGTATTGAGAACAATGTTTTGATAATCACAATAGTAAAAACATCAGGAATAATAAATATTTAAAATAACATATGATTGTTGAGGAATGCAAATAGAAAATATATAACACCCTATAATCGGGGATACGGAATACTAACCCCCGGAAAACTACCCCCCCAGGTGAAACATGACGTCACGAAATCTGCCATTTGACCAATATGGGAGCCGTGTCCGCGACTGGAATACTACCCCCCCTAGCAATATGTGATGCTATGTAATTGTATTTTTAATTCGAATAATTCCGTTTGATAACAGAAAAGGCTTGTGGGTAATATCAAACATAATGTTTGATGTATTACAGCAAGTTTTATTGGTTCGGTTAGGTTAGTTTAGAACAGTTTGACAACGAAACTTACAATGTCCGTGACTGGAAAACTGCCCACCCCGATCTCTGACGTCAACATGACGTAGGAACCTGTTGGGGGGGGGGGGGGTAGTTGTCCGGGGAGCAGTCTTCCGGCGACCCCTATAATCCCCTGTCACTGCCTGCGT